CTCTCTCTCTCTCTCTCTCTCTCTCTCTCTCTCTCTCTCTCTCTCTCTCTCTCTCTCTCTCTTTCTCTCCTCTCCTTTTCTGCTCTTTTTTCCCCCAGAAGCCAGATCTAGGGCTGAATCTCCTCCCCCGTTTGCTAAGAAGAGCTGAACCTTTTTCTTTTCTTTCCCTTTCTTATTCTTTTAATTTTTCTTCCTTTCATTAATTTTTTAAAAAGTCCTGGAAGGTGGCCTATTCTCTCTCCTGGGGTTTCTCCAGCTATTGTTAACCTTAACCTTCCCTTCCCGGCTCTCCCAGGATTGTGCCTGGAAAGGTGGGGTTCTGGAGGGGGGCTTGCCTCCCTTCTCTAGCGAGACCCTGAGGGGGAAGCCGGGAACCAATGTTTCCCTCCCACCCTTCCGAGGAGCCATATGGAGTCTGAATTTTTCCAACATGGAGGCAGGGGAAATAGACATGTTTGACTGGGTAGAGATGTTCCCCACCCCCTCTTCTGGATCCCAGCTCTCAGATCCCCGCGGTCCCTTCCCTTACTGTCCCGTCAGCCAGGCCTCTGCGCCTTCCAGCCCGGAGCCCTGTTGGGCAAAGTCCCGGAGCAGAGTTGCCAAGGCGCCTTTTAATTCGGTTACCTCCAGCGCCAAACTTGCCGCCGCCGGGCTCGGCCCGGTGTGCTTGGAACCTGCCGCAGCAAACCAGTTCGGCGTCCCGATCGGTTTCTCCTCGCTTCCTTGAGCCTGAGTAGGAGGCTGGTAGCTTCTCTCCAACCACCGAGGCAGCAACGGCCAGACAGCCCGCCTGCCGCGGCAGCTGGAGGCTCTCGGAATCCACAAACCTTCCTGGCCCTGTCTCACCGCCAGCGGAGTCTCCATTCTTTTCTATCACTCACGTCTCTAGCTCCTTCGCTTCCCACACTTGCCTGGCCTCTGTCCTGCGATGGTTTGGGGCTTATTGCTGGGGGAGCGACCGAAATTTCAGCCCCAGGCGTCTAGTCAAATTGCTAGGTTTTTATTTATTATTATTATTATTACTACTACTATGACCATCATCATTATTGCTGTAACAATCACTTAGACTAAATAAAGCCAGGGCCCAGCCAGCTAACCCCCTCCAACGTTTTTATTTCATTCTCTTTTCTATCTATTAATAACAAACTCAACGGATGCCGGTTAATTAATTCTCCCCTTCAGCCAGGGCTGCTCCGAAGCTAATTTTTGTTAAATCATCAGAGGCTAATGGTAATAATAATAAAGGGATTGGGTCAGCCTGGTCAATTGAACTCCAGTCCTCCTTGGAAGGACCTGCTGCTTAGCAGACCCATGTGTATTTCCAGAATCAGAAATTTCTCAGAAACCAATCGGAACTCAGGGCAGCATTAGCTCCCTGAATCTGCCGTTAAGAGCAGCGTTTGTGTAGGGGAGGGACTCACTCTTCCTGCATTCCTCTCATTTATTTTTACTGACTTTTCTTTGGAGTTGACCAGCTGAGCTGAATGATATTTTAAGTTTTTCCAAAAGCACACGGCACAGAAAGGCTCAGTCTGAAGGGTTAAGGGACGTACCACCCATGGAGGGCTGGAGAAGATACAGAGAGGAGAGATACAGGCAGAAATCTGGGAAGAAATAAAAAAATCCCCTGACGAGATTAAGCTTTATTTTTCCGGTGCACTTTTGAAAGGCTGTATTAAAATAGCGACAGTAATTTTATTATTATTTTTTGATGGTGGGAGCCTCAGTAAACAGCCCCCCTTTCAAACCCAGAGAAGAACAGTGTTCAAATTGTTTTGTGGGTCTTTTTCATCCTGAATAATTTCCCCCATCTCAGTAGAAAATTTCAGCAGTTGCACAATCTTTCCTTTTTACTTTTTTTTCCCCCCTGAGAAAGAAAAGAAAACAGACTATTATGGAAAGGTTGGGGGAGAACCAAGCCAAATGGTCATAGCACCAACCGGTCTTGCCTGGGAAATCTAAACAATCCTGGTCCATTTGGAGGCTCCACAGGGGCCGCTGGCTGCTAGATCCCAGGCTTGCCTGAGCCAAGACTGGAGGTGATGGTACCTGCAGATGGGACATGAATGGATGAAGCCTGGTTCTATGGCTCTGGGGGTTAAAAATCTTCAGGAATTTTCTACCTTAGGCTGTTATGATCTTCCTGGAGGGAAGGGTCCCAGATGAACTTGCTTTTCAGTCTGGCTTGAATCCAAGATCTGCAAGTTCCTTCCAGGCTAGACTTTGCTTAGGTGGAAGGATCTGGAGGGAGGGAGGGAGGGAGGGAGGGAGGGAGGGAGGGAGGGAGGGAGGGAAGACAGAGAGGTCTCTACACTGGAACGTGGGCCTCCAAGATGCTTTTATTTTGGAGTCTAATAGTGCCCCCTCCCTGGCAGTGCCCTACTCCAGAGTTGGGAGGAGGTGAGCAGATATTGGTAGGAGAGGCCAGGACTGGCACACAAGCAGGAGAGAAGGAAGCAATGGTCCACGAAGCAACGACATTCTATTCCCAAGCATTTCCCCAATGGCGTACAATTCTGATTTTTGTTTTTAAATCGAAATGAAAATCGGTGTTTTGTTTTGTTTCCTTTAAAATTAAAGTTGAAGCAAGAAGCATGCATGTCAGGTCAGATACTTGGTCCCAGCGTCTGCTGCAGAAAGACTGGCGAGGAGAGAAGAAAAAAAAAAAAACCCTATTGATGTCAGTTCCCTTTTTAGTTCCTAAGATGGATTCGAGGCCCAGTCCTCTTCTCCCCCTGTGTTTCTTCTCTCGCCCCGCAGGTCAGCCGCTTGGAACAGACCCGGGAGGAGGGGGGCAGAAAGGGGAGGGGGGTCCGGCGTGTCACGTGACCCCCAGGGGTGCCAATGTCCGGTCGTGAGGGTATCAGGCCCTTGCAAGTTGCCACCCACTGCCCGGGCCTCGCCCAGCGATGCAGAAAGCCACCTACTACGACAACACAGCAGCTGCGCTCTTCGGAGGCTACTCCTCGTACCCTGGCAGCAATGGTTTCGGCTACGACGGGCCTCCCCAGCCCCCCTTCCAGGCCGCTACGCACCTGGAGGGTGACTACCAGCGCTCAGCGTGTTCCCTGCAGTCCCTGGGCAATGCCGCCCCACATGCCAAGAGCAAGGAGCTCAACGGCAGCTGCATGAGGCCTGGCCTAGCCCCAGAGCCCCTGCCCGCCCCGCCGGGCTCACCCCCACCCAGCGCAGCACCTACCAGTACCACTAGCAACAGCAATAACGGGGGAGGGCCCCCCAAAAGCGGCCCCCCCAAGTGCGGTCCCGGCTCCAACTCCACCCTCACCAAACAGATATTCCCTTGGATGAAAGAGTCGAGGCAAACGTCCAAGCTGAAAAACAGCTCCCCCGGCACAGGTACCAGCTCTCTGCCTTCATCGTCAGCTTTTGTCCAGTTCAGGAATGTCACTGTTATTCTAGCACCGACCCCTAGGCGCCCACAAGGCGCCTGGGAACAATATTAGGTGGCTGCCTGGTGGTCTCCTCCTCCTCCTGTACCTCCTCTCACCACCTGATGACCTCTGACCCTGCCAACACCCAGTCCCTCCAGCCAACCTCCTCTTGGGTTTCCAAGAATTTCCAGGAGGTGGGAAGGTTGGCCTCAGAGCTCTTCCCAAGGCCGCATCGCCTGGAGGGCACAGAGTCATCAAGAACAGATTATTATTAAGTATGATTACTGTGGGTATTAATCACCATCGCTCAGGCGGCCTGGGGTCCTGGCCTTCAGCCACCGCAGTCTTTAGTGCCACACTTCCAGGGCCTGCTCACCAGTGTCCAGTCCCCCCAAGGTGTTCTCAGTCACCCATCCTGTAAAGAGGACGGACAGAAGGGGATCATCTCAGACTTGTATTTGGATATATACAGGGGAGAGGTGCGCGCACACGCAAAAATCTAACCCTAAATAAATGGCCACGCAGCTCTGTCTGTGTGACATGATCAAATTTTCATAAGCTGGGGCAGTGAAAGGAGAACAGGTCTCTTAATAAATGCCACTATTATAGAGTGTCCGCTAATGCGACGGGAGGTGGGAGGGGGGTGTTGAGGAGGAGGCGGGGACGGGAAGGGGAGGGTGGCGGGGCCTTCGGAGTCCAGACCTGGATTTATTAAGAAACGATGCATTCAATTTCGGCGTGTTCAGTAATTATCTTTTATTTCATTTTCTCCCCTTTCCGCCCCTCCCCCTCGGGTCCAGCAGAAGGTTGTGGTGGCGGCGGCGGCGGCGGTGGCAGCGGCGGCGGTAGCAGCGGCGGGGGCGGCAGTGGCGGCGGGGGAGGGGACAAGAGCCCCCCGGGGTCAGCGGCGTCCAAGCGGGCGCGGACGGCGTACACAAGCGCGCAGCTGGTTGAGCTGGAGAAAGAGTTCCACTTCAACCGCTACTTGTGCCGGCCGCGCCGCGTGGAGATGGCCAATCTGCTGAACCTCAGCGAGCGCCAGATCAAGATCTGGTTCCAGAACCGCCGCATGAAATACAAGAAAGACCAGAAGGCCAAAGGGCTGGCCTCGTCGTCCGGGGGTCCCTCTCCTGCCGGCAGCCCCCCGCAACCCATGCAGTCCACGGCCGGCTTCATGAACGCCTTACATTCTATGACTCCCAGCTATGACAGCCCGTCCCCACCAGCCTTCGGTAAAGGCCACCAGAATGCCTACGCGCTGCCCTCCAACTACCAGCCCCCTCTCAAGGGTTGCGGCGCCCCACAGAAGTACCCCCCGACTCCGGCGCCCGAGTACGAGCCCCACGTCCTCCAAGCCAACGGGGGCGCCTACGGGACGCCCACCATGCAGGGCAGCCCGGTGTATGTGGGCGGGGGTGGCTACGCGGATCCGCTGCCGCCCCCTGCCGGCCCCTCCCTCTACGGCCTCAATCACCTTTCCCACCACCCCTCGGGGAACCTGGACTACAACGGGACGCCCCCTATGGCCCCCAGCCAGCATCACGGACCCTGTGATCCTCACCCCACCTACACAGACCTCTCCTCTCACCACGCGCCTCAGGGTAGAATTCAAGAAGCACCCAAATTGACACACCTGTGATGTAAGGGGCAGGTGGGGGGGGGCATCAAGGGCCAGGGAGGTTGTGGAGCTGGTTGTGGGGGCGGTTTGGAGGCCTGTGTGTGTTGGGGTTGTTGCAGGTTTCCAGAGACAAGGCAGGCCTTGGGCGACTCCCCCCCCCCTTCCCTTGGCCTGAGGCTGTCTTTAAGGCCTCCAAGCCTGGTTCCATCTGCCAGCCCACACCCTTGGAAAGGAATCCACAGCAGGTTGGAGGCGACCACATCTATCCCAGGGCTCCAGCACTACCAAGTTGGAATTTCAGATTGGAGAGGGAGTCGGGTAGAGGGAACCCGGATAGGAAAGCAGGGCAGAGAAGCACATTCAAAATTTATGACTTGGCATTCATCAACCAACCAACTTACCTTCCATCTCTGTGAGCATTTCCCCCAAATCTTGACTTACTTTTTTTTTTTTTTTGGTCTTCCCTTTCATTCCCCTTATGAAAAATAAGAAAACACATTTCAATCTAAGGGCACAAAATGTTTTCCTCCCACTCCCCCAAGCCTCAATTTGCCCCCATCTATTTGAGGCTTCCTGCTATGCCCACCATGTCTAGCCCCACGATTTTCTGCTCTAAGGACATTCATATCTATACCCCACCCCTACTGATTACAAGTTCCAGAGGGCTCAGGGATGATGAGAGATCCTGAAAGTTAGAGCTGCCTATAATATAAATATATATATTTTTTTCTTTTAAGAAAAAGTTAAGAGACTAAGGCAGGCAAGTTGTCAGGACTGGAGGTTTGGCACTCTGCTGCTTCTCAGCTCCCACCCCATCCCACTCTCTCTCCCTGGAAAGCAATCCACTCGAAGCTCTCCACTTTCCTTTTTCTTCTGTTACTCTCTTGACTTAACGTGAAAACAGGGTATATTTGAACAAACTGTCTGTCCTAGGCAGGGGCTGCAGCTGGGCCCGTGGTGGACCTTGCTCCAGTTCCTGACAGGGCACTCTCTTGTTGCACTTGGAGTTTACATTTTAATGGATATTAAAAAAAAAACAACTGTGAGAGATGTCTGGGCCTGCAGAAGTCCAGCTTCCCTCAAAAAGCGTGTGTTCTAGTGAACATTTTCATATATATTTATTGGTTATAGCCTGTTGAAATATTTTCTTTTTTGTATTATTTATCCCCCTACATTATGTATTTATATGAGGAACAAAAAATGAAAAAATGTACTTTTTTAGTATTTACTTGTTATAAAGGATGTTGTGTTTCCTGTCATGTAAAACCAGCTATTTTAGTTTTTATTGTATTCTAGATGAGAGCTGTAGATTTATGTTAAACTTGTACTTATGAGCAATTGTAATTAGTTCTAAAAGGCATGAACTCAGCTCCTAATGGTCACTGTACAGTCCTGAATTTGTAGAGTTAGAGTTAATTCTCTCTTGGAACTTTCTTTATTCTTCTGTAGTTACTTTTCCTCCCCTTAGTTAAAAGGGTTGTCTGTCAAAACAATTCTTGAATAAACTTTCTGTTATCAATTTTATCTTGTCCTGGTGGTCCAATTCAGATCACAGAGAAAAGGTTCCAATTGCCAATATCCCCTAACAGGGAGGGCATTTTTGTCCACTACTTCGGCCCCTGTCTCCTCTCCAGCTTTTTCTCCTGGTTTAAATTCTGGGTTTTTGACATTCATAGCAGTCTAGACTATTCTGCCAAGTTCTTCAGCTAAGGTTTAAGTAACAAGTCGGGGGAGGGAAGGGAATCTTGGGCTGTCTGCTAGCCTCTTTGCCTCTCTATTTTTTCTGTTTTTGGCCTTTCTTTTTCCTTAGACCACCACCTCCATGCACCCCTCTGCCCACAGCAAACCAAAGCAAAATCTAGCTTATTGCTGCTTCTTCCAGGCAACCTAAACTTCAGGGTTCTCTTCCGGAGCTACAAGGAGGCTGTCACGTGACCAGAAGCCCAACCACCATTGGGTCTAAAATGAAAACAAAGGAAAATGATTAATCTGGGGGAAAAATACAACAACAAACCGAGGCCTAGACTTCTCAGGTCAAGCCTTAGAACTAAAGTGAAATTATATCATTAAATGAAGCCCGGGGCAGAGGAAGAGGAGGCCGGATTGATTTCTCCTGCCAGGGAAAGAGGGAGGAGCGAGGGAAGATGTTGAAACCAAGCTTAAATAAAATGGTCCCCAGGCTGATGTGAGGCTCTGTTTCCACGATCCTTGGGAAAACTTCATTTCTTAGTCCTGGTTCCATAAAAGTTTTATCACATTGGAGCGAGGCTAGAGAGGGTCTGTCAGAGATGAAATGTCACCACCGCATCGCAGTCTCTGATAAAGAGCGAGGAGACAGGGAGGCTGAAATATGGGGCTAATTCGCTGAAAGAGAGGCGAAGGCTGCTTGCTGAAGAGTTGCATAATTCTAATTGTGAGCCTTGCGCCCGCATCGCTTAATTGGGAGCATATATTTGGTGATAGTGGTGATCTGGGGAGGAGGTGAGAGGCGGTCCAGACCCTCCGCCTTAAAGCCAGGGCTGGTTTTCATTTTTATGTGGCTTCCTGGCAGTCCAAGGTTAGTAATTACAGTCTTTATGCAACAATAAATAACAATAAAAACCAACCTGAATAATACACCCCCTCCCCACCAAGCAGATTTTTTTTTAAAAAAAAAAAAAACTGGACGTGTCTCATCCAGGCAGCAAGCAATTTAGCATTGGGTCAGGCTATAAATTAAAGGCAGAGGAGAGTGCAAAGTTTGATTGGGATCAAA